AGTATTTAGAAGGCTGAGACAGGAGGATCTCCAATTCAAGGGCAGCCTGGACTGGATGCAAGATCCTGATTCAAAAGAGGAGGAGAAGAAGGAATAAACTCTAGGGTCTCTGGCTGTGGCATAAATGCAGAGACAGAGGAGAAAAAAATAGGAGAGCAAATAGCTGTGACCCATGTCCTTGAAGGACAAAGATGCCAGACCTCTTAAAGACCTGCCCAGGAAGAAGTGTTTTGCTTGACCAAGATGTCAGTCCTAAAAATAAGTGCATAAACGCTGACTGTCTGGGTGCCAGGCCGACTCAGGACGATGCTGACAAACTGAGCCAGGGAACTACTAGTGTAGTGTGCAAGATTAACACCATCCGAAAACTACAACTCCCAGCGTGCCCTTTGGTCCGCCGGAGCCTGGCGGTCATGTGATAGGTCCTCACGTGTCTCCCCAGCTGGCTCCGGGATGAAGCACTCTAGGTAAGGGGTTGTCGGTAGAGGTGGTGACGGGTGGGGCGTGAGGGCCCGGGGGCTCCTGGGGTCCCCCACCTCGGCGGCGCTCAGGCGAGCTCGCTGCAGGGCCCGGAGCTGGCCCTCGCCCCACGCCCGCCGTTTATTTCGCCGGCAGGGTCGCACCTGATCCAGCCGGGTCTCCACCCAGTCCTAGGCCGAGGTGGAGTTCCGGAGAGGCTCTCCAGTTACCCCACGTGGCCCTCCTGCCTTGATCCAGGCCTGAGAACCTTGCACGCACGCACAGACACATACACACGCACGCACGCCTGCCTGGCTCGGCCGGACATTTTCTGGTCCCCCTCCCAGTGCACACCAACCTTTTGTGTTTCAGGGCTGCAGCTCCACATTGGACTGGGTCAGGTCCTGAGTGGGATCTGAGGTGCCAGCTGAAATCTCTGGTAGAGCATGTGGGGCATCAGGCTTCTAGTTCTGGTCCTGCCAGCTGCCCATTGTGACCTTAATCTCCTTCAGGAACCTTTTCCCCTGTCTTGTGTGGGCACTTAGTTCTGAATTAGTATTAAAACTAGTCAGTTCCCCCACCTTCTGAAGTCAGCTCAGTGACTGCCTGAACTCCTCTCTCCTGACTCCAGAT